TAGGCGTTCCTTTACATCACTGATATATATATCCTCAATTGTAAATAATGTGAATTAAAAATAAAATTGATGGACATAAAATGCATTTATTTAGGATACGGTTTTCATGTTTTTTTTTTTGTAATATAATCATGCATATGCCTATATTAGAGGTTTAGGATACATCTTAATTTTAAATATATTAATTTCAGCATAAATTCGGCAAATAGAAACAGTATATTCACTCTAAAACTCATTTTATAAATGTATATCAACATAGAAATCATTCAAATGAAACTAACAAATATTTTGTGGAATTTATTGATATAATTCAGAAATTGAAATATTAGACTGTTATCATTATATATATATATATATATATTAAATTAACTGTTTTCAGCAACAAGAAAAATTATCACTCGCTCCACCGCCGTAGCGTTTGAATAAAGCAAGTCATGTTTAATATATAATAAAAGACTGAGATCGAAACGGAAGTCTGGTTGGGACCAACCTGAACCAAAATGAAATTTGTGCCGACAAGCAGCTATGATTAGACGTTAGCGAAACGAAATGACTCCACCATTTGGTCTAATTTTACTTAATCAACAGAAGCCCCTTAACGCAGAAGCTCGCCTGCTCTCATTCAATGATGCAAAAAAAGGAGAGGGCAGCGTCGAAGCCCCTCTTGTTCAAAAATAAATTGTTATAAGGGAAAAACTACGGGAAATATTTTTATTGCAATAGCTCGCGCTACGAGCGCACATTTGTGACACCGTTATCCATTTATTCCCAGGTAACGCTTCGGTTTGCCGCCCGCGGGGGGATCCCTAAGTTAAAAAGTAATCTATGCAATAGAAAGTTCGAAGACTATGGAAAAAGTCCATCCTCTTTTAAACCCTTCCCCTTCCCACCGTCTAACCTTAAACCATTAATGATTGAAAATTAGTAAAGGCATTTCCAAGAACAATGTGAGTAGGGGGGGGGGAAGGGGGCGCCGTTAACGAGGAACGGCCCCCGCCCCCGCCGCCCCCTACGAAAACGGGCGTTCAATTCACGCTAGGGTGCTACACTTTCATTATAAGAGAAGAGAAACATATTACAAGACTCTTTGGAATCAACTGAATTTATAAGCCCCCTCCTTTCCCCCCCTTCTACACACACACTCTTCAAGATCAAAAAAAATTTACCAATTTCGCACAAAGGCGCAGCCGCACAGGTGCGGATTCACCAGTGCCGAGTCGTCTTGGATCGTGTGGAAAAAACTAGGGAAGACCGGGAATCGGACCCGGGTATCCAGAGCCACAATCTGATGTTCTGCCACTGAACTATCTTCCCACCGCTCCATATTAGAGATTACTTGATACACAATGTTTATAACCCTGTCCTCCTCCCCCCCCCCGCGTGCCAGGGGGGGGGGGGCATGCAGTTGTCCCTTAAATTCAGAGAGGGGAAAAGTAGAGTAGGGTGGGATAGTTTGGGCTCTGGCATAGGAAGAAGAGGGGCGCGCATTCAAGCGAAACCTTTTCATGAAATTGTCAGCCATTGTTTAAATTCAGTTATGCTTTTTTCTTTGATACCATTTGCTTATATTTTTTTAACTCTTTATATTCCTGGCGGTTGTAATACGACACATGCGCTGCATACCCTTGGATTTGATGCACGGATAAGCGGAGTTCTCTCGTTAGCCACGGGACACCCATGCAACATGTCACGAACAAGCTCATAAAGAACACTGCGTGTGTGACCCACAGCGCGCTCCTGTCCGGTTCCTTTCCAGATAAACAGAGGGACTCGTAAAAGGCAGGCAAACACACGGGCAAAGATGCCGCAACGCCAATTTCAAGGAACCCGCCTAGCAGCAATGCATAGAGCCACACTGCGAGGGCGCCAAAAAATTTAGAGATAAAAAGTAGGATAGGAGGCGTCATTAACCATCCCCATAGTTCCTTTGGCAGGACCTGGCTTGTGCTGCTCGAGTTCATTTGCACTGCAGCCATCTTCATGAGAGAAAAGACCGTGCTGAGCCCTATCAAGGCGATCCACACAACTATTAAAAGAGTAAATGTCCTCGTCGTAAGACAACTCGTTAAGACACCAGCCTTGGCTTTTTCTAACCCTTCCTGGATGCGCATGCGTGGCTTGGGCGAAAGTGCCGCACATACGATGCTCAATATTGCAACCAAAGAAATGCCCAGCACCAAGCCTGCGACCCTTGACACTGGAAAAAGGTACGTCCACTGCAGAAAACTAATTGATGCTGTTGCAGAGTACCTATCTGTTGCCTCTCGGTTCTTTAGCTGCTGCAGCATTTCCTCAACGTCGAATGTGCTCATTTTTCAAAAGTAACTAAATGTGCAAAAGGAGGCAATTTACTTTAAGATTTATTTTCCACCTTTAGTGTGACATAATTGTCAATGACGCAACGCCAACAGCGAAAGTGTAAAACCAAAAGGAAAAAGGGTTGTAAAGAAGCATTAGGGAAGCCTCACTTTACAAACATTTTCAAAAAAACGGGAGTGCAAACCAGCACGCGTAAAGGCCAAGACAAGTGCATATGCGACGAACATAAACGGTACACAAAACTTTGCTCATAAAATGTGTGGCAAATCAACAAGAGCAGGAAATGGAACGCCTAGAAAAACATTTTTACCCCTTGGCGCATTACGAGGTTGATTCAACTGGAATAGTCTTTCCGTCAGCTCATCCATTTTCAGAATAAAGTAGTGCGGGGGCTCTCGGCTTTCCATTACATCAGTGTTTTCTTGGTTTCCCACTGGAAGTTCATGGTTACTTTCATCCATGTCTCTTGGTCTTTTGACACCTGGAGTCACAAACAACGTTACAGGAGTCTCATCACTGCCATAAACTCGGATCTTTCGGTAATCGTCGAGGCCAAGCTTAACTGCTTCTTGAACCATAATGTCATTCCCAATAAATCGAATTATAAACAATGCCGCCACTTTCACATATTTGTGCAGCTCCTGACGAAGCATAGCTAACACGATGTCTGGGGAAGGACCTATCTGCAATAAGCGTGTCAAAAGACACAGAAAGTACTCAACTTTGTGAAGCGACCCAGAGAGGCCCCCAACGGCAACAACGCTGGTGAGTTCCTCAAGAACCCACAGGAGGGGTTTGTTGGCGCACTGAGACATCGCCTGAGAACGCGTGATGCGATAGCGTGTGGCTGGATCTAATGAAGCTACCGCTTGCCTTCCCTTAAGGTTAAAGAACATTTATTTGCTTTTGTTTGTCTTCTCTACTCACTTTTTATTCTTTTGCTAGAGTCGCTTCCCTTCCGATACGCGCCCCTAGAAGCCAGTCAATTATTTTCCCTTTCGAAACGAGCAATGGGAAAAAAAACAATAGTAGCGTTGACACCAAAAAAATGCTTTGTTTTAAGGAAAGGACAAAGACGAGATGATCTGTGAAAACAAAATTAAATTACGTTGCAAAGTGGCATATGACCAGTAAAGTTACAGAAAGCGAAGCTGAATCCACAATGATGAAATTTTCACTAGTTAGAGGAAGGCCTTGTCAATATACTGCACAAGCATAAACAACATACAATTTGCACAACTGTTTTGCGCATTGGGATAGGATTTGCGCACCTCTCACACGCCAAAGGGGCGAATGCAGAGCCACATCAAGGTTGGAAACTGAAGGACACAAGCCAAATACGAGAAGAAGCGCGCCCGAGGTGGCACACGACCGTCCTCGCGCCTACACAATCGTATAATTGTTTTACATGTAAAAAAGCTGTTTGCAGCGGTGATGTAGAGTAGACAAGGTATAAGAAAAGCATAGCTACTCATGAGGGTGACTCGCCACAGCAGTACAACTGTGCACACTAAGACATTCTTGTATCCACTTAGCGCAATCATATCCAGCACAGAGACCCAGCGCACAACCTGGAGAATGTGAGCAAACAGCTTGAGCGCAATTGTCTCTAAGACATGCCAAAAGACTACTGCAGAAGCAGTAGAAAACAGATACTCCTGCGTGACGGAGCGATGATGTTGCAATCCAAAAACAAAGGCAGAGAGAACAATATAGGTAATAGCGGCCATAAGTGGAATATATAGATCGAGAGCGTAGCAGTTGTGAATGGGCAAGATCATTGGTGGAGCCTTGGTAGTGGACTCATGGTGGTTATTAAGAACGGCATCGTCACCGAACCCCACATTGTTGCCCATGGTATCTGTCGCGACTCCATTACTTTCGCATCCTGAAGACCTCGTGAAACGCTGAAAAAAGGGGAAGTAAATAATTGCTAGCTTAGATCGAACATATACATTATCTACGCGAAAATAAGCACGAAGATTGGTAAGAAAAAAAGGCATGTAGGGTGAGACTTCCTTTTTACTCTGTTGAAGGCCCTGATGAAGAATGCTCTGACCATACTGAAGCCCTATCTGCAGCATTGGATTGCTATTGGTACTAGGGACAAAGGGAGGGGATCCGGTGAACATTACTTGTTCTCGTGGAGATACTGCCTTGATGTTGGTATTATATGACATTGTTATGTCTCGGTTCGGACTATTGTTAATGTAAAAAAAAGAAACCCAAAACAAGTGGCACAACTAAGACGAGTATGCGTGTGCCACACAGTCTCTGATGTTGAAATAAAAGAGATAGCTATATGTAGAACTAAGCGCAACAAAGCTGCCCACCAAAAAAAAAATAAAAAAATGTTTGAGTATGAATGCATGTAGTTTTAGAATATTATTTCTTTTCAAAATAATGATTCATGTTATCTCAATTTTCTTTTACATATTTTTTTTCCTTTCACAAGAATACGAGTTTAACACGAGGGCTCATTAAATGCTTGAAACAAGCGGTTACTGCACACCTCTTTAAAGGTTATTTATTGCTTGAACCCATGTTATTCTTAACCAGCGACAAGCAAAAGCAGGGTCAAATTACAAAACTTTTATTTTTTAAGCCTTGACGGAGATACTACGCTTTGCGCTTTATTGAACACAAAAACTTGTATCGATCGAAACACTCCTTTGCAGTTTTGCCATCCACCATTCCGGCAATCTTTTGGAATTTGTCCTTCTCCTTGTAGTCCTTAAGCTCGCGTAGGCCTTGCTCAAGTTGTTTCTGTTGCCTCATGGTCCAATCATCCACAAGAGTTGTTGCCGTAGCTGCAGATGCGGAATCTGAGGACCCGCCACCACCACTAACGCCTGCCGCACCGCCGGCGCCACTTTGGCTGCTATTGCAGTTGCTCAGCGAAGCGTTTAGCTCGTTCACTTTTGCCATGGCTTGTTCCTCTGTGTAACGATTCTGGAGGGCAGCAACAATTTTAGGCCAGCGCTCGATGGTACCAGGGGGATATTTAGCCGTGGCTTTCTGCAAACGTGCGAGAGCGTCGGGGGTCCACACCACGGGAGACGGCTGCTTCTTGTTCCCACTTGACGTGCCGGCACCGCCGCCCCCAGTGGAGGCTGCGCTCGGAACATTCACTTTGTCTCCATACCCAGCTTTTTTTATAGGTTCCCCATAGCGGTCAACACCAATGAGTTTTTCGCGTTCATAAATGAGGCGATTGAACACTCGAACTGCCTCAACTTCATCATCACCGCCCTCATCCTCGTTGTCAATGACCCTACTCTTCGCATCTGTGATGGTCCGCTTGGACTTGTGGGTGGTGCTAGCAGATCGCACTGCCTCCAGGACCGCCTGCGCCTCTTGTGCACCATTTATCTTCAAAAACAGCCACGTTATGTTGGGTTTTCGAACCGCGTTGGAAAGAATTTTGTTGGTCGGCGTCTCGTCAATCAAGTGATGCATTTCAAAAAAAGCTAGCAGCTCCCTTTGAGCTTGCCGTATGGCGTCTTTTTGCGCCTGTACCGCACGAATAGCCTCCTGTTGTCGGCTTCGCTCCTTTTCCTCTTCCAACTTCTGGCGAAGTTGCTCCCCTGCACGCAGTTGTTGCCGAAACGCCTCTCTCTCTTCCTGTTCTTTCTTTCGTTTGGCTTCGTCCTCGTCTCGTTTGCGGCGCAAGCGAGGATCATTTTTCCGGGCCCTCTCCACCAGAGTCCGAATCCTTTTAAGCTCTTGACGGTGGTGCTGTGCTAGCTGGCGCTCATTTTCGCGCATGTAGTAACGCCTCTCCTCGCGGCACATCGAGTCATCAATTTCGGAGAGCTCTGCAACATGCGAGAAGTCCCGCCAGCTCTGATAAGTACTCCAGCGATCGTAAAAACGCACTACATTGGGGTAGGCGGTGGTGTCATTTCCTAACGAGGGTAAGTCCTTCTCAATGCTCCACTTCTTGTTTCGCTCAAAGACTGGACCAAAGGTGCGGTAAAACATCGATTCCTCCACAACCGCATCCGGGATACTGTCATCGAACGGCCGTGAGGAGTCGTATGACCGACGCGCATCTGGGTCACCAAGGATATCAAACGCACGCTGTACCTTTTTGAACAACTCATCAGAGTGATCCTTCTGTTTGTCTGGATGGGTTTCCAAGCAGCAACGTTTGTAAGCCTGCCGGATCTGCTCATCGGTGGCCCCTTCTTGCTGCTCCAGCTTTAGGACATCGTACCAGTTTACCAAAAGATCTTCTTCGGATATCTGTGTAAATTTCTTCCGTTGTGAGGCCGGCTGTTGGTGGCTTTCCGCCCCACGATCGTCATCACTGGAGCTGTCATCGCTTTCATCGTCATTGTCGGATGCGTCGTAGACCCACTGATTCGCTACGCTTTGAGGATCGCTCTGGGCCTGGAACAAACGCCCTGCCTCACCATGAAGCCGAGTCATCAAACCAAGGCGTCGATAGTACGCGAGCCCTTGGGGCACGACCGTGACCTGTGAACACCACGACGAAAGTTCTTTCCTTTCTGTATCAGGGAACTCCATGGGCTGCTCCCCTTCCTTGAGCTGCGGCAAATGTAGCTTTAACGGCGTCATTTTTGGTAGATTGGAAACTTCTTCTTTCTTTCTGTATCAGTGCTTGCCTTAACAGTTAAAAGGAAACAAAATTATTCGCATAATTTTTTTTTTTGTAAAGAGTATCAAAGGGAGAGGGGGTGTATACGTCACGTAAATCAAGCCATATTTTTTCTTTTGAAACTCATCAAAGGATATTATTGGAGCTATCATCCTGATCAACACAATTTTTGTCACCATTTAGTATATTCGTCCATATCTACCTACATGATATAATAGTACTTCCTTCACCTACGCATTCATAAATATAACATCCGTGCCCCTTTTCCTCATTGGCATATCCGAGCTTTAGTGTTTACTTGTCTGAAAAACTTAACCCCGGAGTGAATGCGCATTCTTCACATCAATAGTGAAGGAAGGAAAACAATGAGTGTGCTGTGGTACTGATCTGTCTCAATGCGCACGAACCTTATGTCTTTGTTAAAAATATAATGGTCATTTATACTTTCACTTAACTAGTCAAAAGGATGCATTATGGAGGGATATATCTATATATATATATATATATATATATATATATGTGTAGAAGTT